AAATATAACATTTAAATTTTAAATATAACTCTTGAGTCTTTTTCGTTGTTAGGAAGGATGAGAATGTAATAGATTGAAAAAATTAAAATAAAAATGAATTAAGTTATCCTTTCATCTCATGATAAGCATAATTAAATTCAATATTATATACTAGAGATATTAGAATCATCATACCCTTTAAAAATTTCATAAATTATGGATCCTAACTCCATGAATTAAAATTACACCTCTCACTTATAAATATAATTTACCTATCCCCTCTTTATTTTAATCATTTCATTTTTACCTTTATATTCTCAATCCATTCCATTCTTGCAACCAAACAAGACCTTGGTTTAGAATTGAGATCCATGTCTATAACTATTTTGTTTCAATATATTATTTATTAAGATTTACCCAGTCAAAATTTGTAAATATTATTATTACTACCACCACCACTTTGATGCTTCTTATTCACTAACATCACATTCATCGGCCCTTATTGTTGTTGAATGCATTGATGATACAAAATTAGTGATAGCACTACTACAAATATTAATGTTAGGGCCATACAATCTGAAATAATTTAAAGTAGTATCAATAACTTCATGATAAAAAAGACAATAAAAATGATGATGAAGAACTTGGGCATGAAAGATAGCGAGTGATAGAAGAACAAGGTGAAGTTTGGCTTTGTGGTGTTGAATATGGGCCACAAGCTTTTCAATGTCCTTGTAACAACTTTCGACAACATCTATGTTACTCATGTCAAGCTAATAAATAATAGTTCTTTTAGTTTCATTCCAACAGTGAGGGGTAAGGTTTTTGATATTCTAATGATGTTTTGAACACAAAATAAGAAGTCAAAAGAGAAGTAAGAAGCTTCAAAATATGTTCTGATACCATGGAAAAAATAAGAAAAGAAAAAAGGACACTTAAAAAAGTATCGTATCCATTGATATGAAAAACGTATAACATATAAATTGTCCTAATAATAACCAATGAATACAAAATATTCTTTAAATTATAATAGAATACATTTTAATAAATAATATATCATAATACTCACCTTAAACTTAGGCGTAATTCTTGTATAAATGAATTATTAGGAAAAAAATTCAAGAATAATTCTTGGATAAATGAATCACTGTGCAAAAAAATTTAAGAGTAATTCTCAAAAAAATTAATCACTAGGCAAAAAAACTCATGAGTGATTTTTGGAGAAATAAACTATAAGAGGGAGGGAGGGCTAGAGTTTTGCTATACAGAACAATGCTCCTACTTGTACAAAATATAAAAACTTGATTAACTTAGTTTTGATACCATGATGAATCTCACTAGATAATATATCATAACAATATGTACAAATTTCAACAAAATAAATTTCAATAGATAATATATTATAATATGCTTAAATTAATATTTGTAACTTATTTTTTTAGAAAGTTTATCAAAGACTTAATTGTCTTTCTTTCTCTTGGTTTAGTTTAGACTTTATTGTCATTCTTTTGATATATAATTATGCTCTCAACCCATTATTCCGCACGCATCAATGTTCTAAATCTCAACTTGCCTAAACTTAATCTACATTTAGAATCATCATTGTGTAAATAGATGATACATGATTGATATAACTTTGTGTTGAAAATGAATGTGATATAAGTATAGTTAGCTTGAAGTCTTATAATGACTCATTTTTATTAGTAGTTTGTTACTTATATCAACAATTCAAAAGTCATATTGGATCTCCACTAATTGAGATTAAATCAAGTCAAATTAAATCACATAAATGACTATGTTAAAAATATTTCAAGCATTTCTTTCTAAAAATAAGACTTGAAATTTGATTTAAGGAAAACAAACATTGAACTACTTGAACTATTGATAATAAGGTCCAATGCAATATAAGAGAAGTATCAATTTCCCTAAACTACTGGAGAGATGTAATGATATCAAGTGGGCCAAGAGAAGATTTAGGCCAGAGATGTCAAATGGGCTTAAAAGATGGTTAAGGGTTTTGAAGAACAATGGCTATATAAGTTGAAGGTGTACAAGGAGCAAGGTGTAGATTAATCTTGTGACTCTATGATGCCCTGTCCCTTCTCTAGCAATAGTGACTATGATTGTGAAGTTTCTTCTCTCTTTTGCAACTTCTTCTACTCTTCTGCAATTTTGTGGTTGCCCCTGCTTTATGTTTCTTGTTTCTATTATTTAATAGTTCTTTAATTTCATTAAATCTTGTTGAGATGGTGTATTTAGGTTGCTCCTAATCTTTGTTTAATACTATCTCATTAAGAATAATGAAGTTAAAGAACTATGAAATAATATAAACAAGAAACATAAAGGAGGGGCAACCACAAAATTGCAGTAGAATTAGAAGAAGTTGCACAAGAAAGAAGAAACTCCACAATCTAGAGAGGGAAGACGATGCTAGAGTCATAAAATTAATCTACAACCTTCTCCTTGTATCCCATTTGCTTATATAGCCATTATTTTTTAAACCCTTAACCATCTTTTAAGCCCATTTCACATCTCTAACCCAAACCTTCTCTTGGCTCACTTGATATCATTACAACAGAGTATTATTTTTTGTTACATGAGTGTCACTACATTTTAAAAGGTGAAAAGATTCAAGTATTGTCAAATCTAATTGAAGTGAACAAAAGTATAAAAATTTCGATGAATTTGATATAATGATTGCATCAGTTTCCATTCTGTTAAATTTAACTAATGTTCATTAATGGTGAATGGGTACCCTAAAATCAACCATGGTAAATGGGTACCATTAATATAAGGTGTAAAATTACTCAAAAAAATTTTTTAGGAGCTTTTAGTACCCTAAAATCAACCATGGTAAATGGGTACCATTAATTTTATAAAATAGGCTAACATTTTCCAATCCATTAAGTTTTGTTTTTAAAACTTCATGGTCAATATCAAATTATTTTAATTGATTGAAAAAAGTTAGAGCTAATAATTTGGATCAAATCCGATAGGCTAGCTTGAATAAGTTTGAAAAATCTTAAAACTATTTTTTGGGAGTTTAGAAATTTTTTTTTCACTTCGCACTTATGTGGACTGCACAAATAAGTATGAAGAAATTAGGGTCAAACCCAAATCTAAATACGCTTAGCCTGAATACTAAAATTCTTTTTTATCATTAATAAAATAAAATTCGATAAAAATTGAAAATATTAATTTTTTTAAGATAAAAATTAAAATTGACAAAAAGATAAAATAAAATAATATTTAACAATTCAAGTATTCAAACCAGCATGAAAGACTGAGTTGTTAAGGTTGAGCCTAATCATACATCCTCTTTTATAAAGTTAATAAGTATCCAGATATCATTGTTGACTTAAAAATATTAGAAGCTATTAGAGAAAAGTATTTTTGCATCCTATGTTTGTTTCCTTTTTTAAAAAGTCAATGTTAATAGACGTTGGTCAAATTTATTAGAATGAGGATTATTACACTCATTATAATAAGTTCATGGGTATTCATGCACCTTTTTCACTTAACGATATTAGATACTCCTAGAGAAAAAGTTGCTGAGAATTTTTGCCCTCTAATCCTTTATTTTATATATCTTGGATGCTAATTTTCTAATAACATTAAGGCAATATAAAAAAAATCTTTAAAAATTTTAATGTTGAGGTGTAGGAAACTTATATGCTTGAAAAAAGAAAATTATAGCATATTTTTATTAAATTTTTTAATAAAAATAAAAATCCAACATAATTTTTCCTGTAATTTGATTTAAAAAGAAGAATTACATTCAGATTTCACATAAAAAATTAATTAATATAAGATTTATTGATAATTGAACTAAGGAGATTGACAATATATTATCAATAAATTTTATAATTAATTTTTTTGTATAAAATTTTAATGTAATTATCTCAATTTAAAATGACTGAAGCATTTGTTCAAGACCAAAACCCACTGAGTTGGTGGCCTGGTGCTCCGACTTCGGGCTTCCGAGGCTTTTGCAAGCAGGGCTCCCGTAGCCTTCCTTCCACGCACAACCACCCCCCCTTTTTTTTTTTTCTCTCTCTCGATTTATGTACTAAGTTCTCTTTTTTTTTTTTTTTTTTACCCAACTCTTACCTGTTACCACCAATGTTTTAAACTTCTAGTCTTTTAGAAGCCAGAATGCCAGACTAGACATTAAATTTTTTTTAAAAAAAATCACTGGGTCTCAGATTTTTATAATCTAACTGGTAATGGCTAAATTAGTGATATCAAATTAAATAAAAAATAATATTAAATAAATATAATATAATATAATATAATATATATACACATATAAAAGAAATAAATTTATAATTTGTGCAGTTGTTAATAAAATAATATGACACAATTATAAATCAATATTATAAATTATAATTTTATAACTATCAAACATGAGAAGTTCTTAATTAAATCAGGCATGAAGATTGAGTGGGCTTAAAAGTAAATATACTTATACCTATAACTGAATATCTTTTTAGAAAAATGTCCCAAATCATATTATATATTTTTGGAGAGTTCAAAAATAAAATAAGATTATTCAAAAAATCTAATTTTTTTTTTGAAAAAATTCATAAAAAGGTTCAAAACCACTTGATTTTTCTGAGAACCGCTTAGATTCCTAGCTCAGTTTCAAATTCTGACTCAATGGTGGCTCTACTCTGATCTAACCAAGCTCAAACATGAAAATTTCTTGGTCCAAAACAAGCCGTTAGTAAATCCAGTCAATAGTCCAATCGTTCGGCCCAGTTTGATTCTCAAAACAATGCCTACAACAAATAAGAACCAACCAATCTCACAACGCTTTGGTCCCACAATACCTAAAATTTTCGGCCCCGACTTTGTTTCTCTCACTAGCTTGTAAGCAATGGTTTATCCTGTGTATGGGAAGTAGTTTGTTATGTATGCTGTTAAGGATACGGTCTAGTTAGGCTCGGAAGCGATTTGCCCTAGTAATTGTTGTCCCAAAGTGAAGGAGGGCAGTGTATATATAGACTAAAGACAAAAACTTTAAGATGAAAATGGAGCATTCAAAAATCACATTATAATTGGCATCTTTTAAAGCCAGCTTCTCGCCTCATCAATGCTGTCAATTGATTTTCAACCCCAAAAAAAAGGGTCAATTGAAGGGTAAAGAATGAATTTACAGCTTATAACACCCAAGCAGCTTTTCGTGTTAAATTGCTCATCCCATGACATATTCAATCTGTAGATATCCACAGCCAATGCTAGGTTGGATTATGAGCCTCAATATCAACATGCTTAACACCAGGAACAAGATTCTGGATTTCCTGCTCCAGCCTATCTACCTCACTTCCTAATGCTGTCACTATTTCCGTGCCTGCCACAACTCACCATCGTAAGCATGCAATTACAGAAAGCAGAACATCTCCATTTCTTTATCATCATTTTCCCTCTATTTCCCTAATCATAACGACATAACCATTCACATCATTGCATTAAGTGAATCTATTTCAGCCATAGATTTGATGAATGGTTATGATAGGGAAGGGAAAATGAGGATAAAAAAAGTGAGGTTCCTACTCCGCAATTACTACTCAATCTTGTAAGTATAAATAGGGGTCATATAAAATTTAATACCATAGTCTGACAAAAATTTCAGCTGGCTAGCCTGATCCTCCTGTGCAGCAACCTCATCAAACTGTAAATTATAGATTCATTAAGTTTGGAACCAGGGTACTGCTAAATCAGCAGGGTCAATAGAAAGAAATGCATGGTAATGGAATACATAAAAATCGAACAAAGAAGGGACTTGGTATCATTAGATTGGTTTTCATGCAGCTGAAGTGTTAATGTGAAGGTAATTTTCGAATTTAGACAGTCATAAGCATTATTTGCAACATATCAAACGTGACACATAAGCATTGTCACAAATTTTTTGGGGTTTTTTTCCCCAATGCATATTCCACTGAGTATAAAGAACTCAAAACACTTTACCTAAAGAAACCCAAAAGAAAAGAGAAGAGCTCAAGACAATCCAAACAAAAGAAATGGCTAAGAAATGTGAGAGCTCAATGCAACTTTGGCTCATGCCAAATGCCAGTCAACACAAGCATAACATTAACCTATTCCTGTTTGACTAATATGTAATAAAATGCAAAATTAAGTGAATAAACAATATATTCAGCGAAAGAATATCAACCTTTCTGGCCCACTCCTCACGTCCAGTCCTGTGAAGATAATTTCGTACAACCATCTCTCCATTAAAATCTGTTTCACACAACTAACATAATCAAAAATCATAATGCCCAAGCATAATTATTACAGAAATTACAATACTTAACATGATTATGGATGTAAACATCATAATTTGAATCCAGCATGTACAAGTTCAAATCTGATATTAAAGCTGGAAAAGCATATAAGCATGATACCCAAAATAAAGGAACTGTATGAAACCCAGAAGTTAGAAAAACTCTAACAACTGCAAGATGCATGCTGTCACATGCAAATATAATGAAGAATGTACAAGACTTTTTAAATGTCAATAGCTTCAAACACCATACATGGTGGATCTGAAATAATGAAATCTAAAATTCTATTAACTACATTCAAGATAAGGAAATCAGTTACTACAAGGATATGAAGCATAACCTATTTCTGCTTTAAATCTGAAGAATCCAGGCCCAATAACTTCACTTTTGCAATCATAGATGGCATCTACAACCTAAAGCATACAAGCCTGGAGAAAGTTAAATGAATGACACGTTGATGCATTAAACAATCATCTTCTATTTCAGCAAAAATGTATCACACTTGTACCGGATCATTTTTCAAAAAATGAAGTACTTTCTCCATATCATGGTCATCCATAGCTCTGCCTATCAAAGCATGGCGGTTTCTTTGAATGAGAAATATGGCAACCTGTATAATTGAGCAAGAAATAAGACAATTATATATCAGCCCTATGAGCGCTAACTTAAGCCACTACTACAATACGCAGTCTTCTAATTCCTATTTACCATTCCAAGTAGGTTCCCAACTATGATTGATCCTATGGGATCATAAATAGCATTTCCAGTGGTATTCACTGCAACCAACGATGCCCCAGCAATAGCAAGGCCAGTTACTGCAGCCCCATCCTGCAAATTTGATATCTCAAATATAAGAAGTATCAACAAGGACAGAAAAGTTTTCTTATTGGGGTGTACTGAAAACTACGTAGATAAAGGAATTCAAGTTGCACATCGGAGGGGAGAAATACTAGTATTAGCAATATATGTTCCACCGTTAACAAGTCACTTTCTTCTGAAGCATAATAACTAAAACAGAACATATTATCTTTGCAATGGGGGAGAATGGAAGCTTAACTGCTTAAGATCATAAATTCATAAAGAAAAATATAATGGCTAATTTTTTTAATTATTTCTCCAGAAAAATAGTCCCAATATATGTGATAAGTATCATGCGTCACTCAAAATCCCAATTCCCTTATTTCAATACCCAGTTTTTCCTGTTTAAACCGAAGTATCAGGAACATGTGACAGAAACTAATAGTAAAAAACGCAACAATTTACCTCCGTCATTACTGCAACAGATGTAGGATCATGACCACGCCAGACATAGTCTCTCACTTTCATACCTTCTGCAGCTGCACCTTCCTTGACAGCTTTTATGGCAACAAGAAGAGAGGCGCCTAACCAAAATATAAACTTTAAAAAAGAGAAAAGACCAAAAAGAAAACAGAGAACAAACTAGATCAAGCTAAAATGAATACACCAGTACCTTCAATGAGAAATGAACCACCTATCACCAAAGCTGCCAAATGCATGTTCTCAGGGGGCTGAAAGGGAAACGCTCACAAGTCCGTTAATTAATTGTGAAAAATATGTTAACAAAGAAATAAATCATAAATTAAAGTTATAAATTATGAGATGGAAATTTATAAGATTCGATTTGATCAAGTACCAGTGCGATCCACAAGTTTTGAAACCCATGAACAACAGTAGCACCAGAACCAAGGCAAAATATTCCAACAGCTGATATTAGAGACCAAACAAATCTTTCCTTGGAATAGCCATAACTGTAGAAACACAGTATGTCATTTTACCACACTAATTAAAGATGAAATGAGTGAATATATAATGCACTGAGTGACTAGGTTCAATAGCTATTCGTGGTTATACATCACATGGATGTATGGGCTCTGAATGCATGCGCAGTCATACGCGAGCTAAGAGGTGGGAAAATAGCAAATGTGATTGATAATGCGCAACTCACGGATGAATAGCATCAGGTGCACGCCTTGAACTACTAAGACCATAAGCAAGCAGTGCCTAAAATATAACAGGGATTAGTTTCTCTGCAGTCAATGTTCAATAAAATAAGTTAAAACCCAGGGTAATTTGACAAAGGAATTTATCATACAGTGCCCAACAACATACCTGGTTTGCGAAGTCTGCAATTGAGTGCACAACTTCAGCAAACATAACATGGCTAGAGGAAGCAAACCAAACTCCAAATTTGAGAGAAAATACGAGAAAGTTACACCACAATGCAGTTGTAACAGCCCGCTGACTAAAGAAATGAACAAACAACCAAAAGATAAGAAATATCAGGTGTTGGTAGAATGGATAAAAGATTATCCAACATACAGGCATCAAGGACATGCCATTGCGCTATACTGCAAACTCGTAGGATCCAAGGTAAGTTTCTAAATTACACTTATTGAAACAAGTCAACGCCGAAATGAGCAAGACTAAGTATAACTAAACCTGTGGTGATCATTAAACTCAATCTTCTTAAGTTGTTTTGCCCTTGTAAAAAAACCTACAAAATAGAAGCCATACCAAACATGTTAGAAAATGCGTGCAGGAGGAACTTGAGAACTGGGTGTATAAATATAATGTATTTTTTTTTTAAAAAAAAAAAACATACTGCGATGGAACGAATACTGCCGATAATGGGGGTGATGGAAGTGACGATGACCATCCAACCCCAGAAAGCCAAGCAAAGCGAATCTTTTTGAAGTTGCCGGCGTCGGGAAATTGCCTCGTAACAGTAAATAGGAGCAGGATGGGGCTGGGGCGGCACTGTTATCTCTTGCTCGTGGTAGTTGGTATTGAGAGGTATGAAATAATAAAAGCTGAGAGAAATTAGCGGAACGAAGTGAACATTTGACGATGGGGATGGATGAAAAAGTGTGTTGCTGTGAGCGGCTAAACCGATGCCGAAGAAGAAGGTATGATGTTCGCATGAATGCTCGACAACAACTGTATCTATCGATACAAATTTCTGTCAGGAAAAATTTTCAAACAAAAGGGGGAAAAAATAGAAACGTATGAAAACGAAGATGAGAAAAACAATGATAAGCAGATTAGGGTTTTAGGTTTTGTCGACCAGGAAGAACGAAGCACAGAGATGGAGGGAGAAGGAAGCGGGGTTGGATAATGGTTCACTGGACTACTCCATGGTTTCCCTTTTCTCCTCCCTCTCTCTCACGGTCTTCAAACGGGGATTTGGAAATTAAGAGAGAACAATCATTTAGTCCTTTTAATTTAAAAAAATAATAAAAAAATTTATTTAAATTTTATAAATGATAAATTGATTTTATAAAATAATATAATTTTTTTTGAAATTTTAAAGAATGTTTTTGTTATCAGAGAATTATAAAAAATGACACTTTTATCCTTTATTTATATTAAAAAAATTTATAACTTTTCATTCACAACTTTTATTTATATATTAACAATTTTTTTTGAATTTATAATAATTTAATAGTTATTTGCAAGTCCTATCTACATGTCCTGATATATATTAGGTATTAAAAATTTATAACTTTTGTTTCTATATTTAGATATCAACAACTTTTCTTTTTAAATTTACAACAATTTAATAATCATTCGCAATTTCACATCTGCAAGTCGTAATATACAACAAGTGTTGAAAATTTATGACTTTTTATTTATAACTTTTATTCCTATATTAACAACTTCTATTTATAAATTCACAATAATTCAATACTTATTTGTAACTCTACATATGCAGATCCTGATATGCATCAGGTGTTGAAAATTCGTAACTTTTCATTCACAATTTTTATTCCTATATTAACAATTTTTATTTTTAAATTCTCAACAATTCAATAATCATTCATAACTCTAGACATTTTTGTTTTATTTGAAAGTAATTTGGTCATTTCTTTTAATTCTCTAATGACACAAAAATTTCATGGGACTTTAAGGGAATGATATTAATATGTCATTTTCATAATTTAAATATATTTTTCTGTCATTTTTCCTTAATTTAATCTGATTATATTTATTTTGTCAAAAAATATATGTGTGTATGTGTAAGAGTCACACCCCCAGCCCACTGCTGCGAGTTGTGGATTGGGCCGTGCCACCTCACGGCAACCAAGTCGACTTTCCCCATAGTAGTTCATGGGTTATTCCCTGCACCCATTGCCCTAAGGGAGCCTTCCTTAGCAATGTAGGAGAGGTTGGAGGATCGAACCTGGGAAGGCTCCCTTAGCGCAGTGGGTGCAAGAAATAACTCCTAAACTACTAGGAGGAAAGCCGACTTGGTTGCCGTGAGGTGGCATGGCCCAGTCCATCACTCACAGCAGTGGGCTCGGGGGGTGTGACTATTACATAAAAGGTGTTGAAGTGGTCAATACTCGGAAAAGGTAGACACGAATAAAAGGCATGATCTCGGTAGGAGTTCACCAATGAGAAGGTGTGTACTTTTGATATTCTATAGCACACTGCCAATACTCAATGTTGCCTTACGTATTATGGGCTCAGTGCACTAAAGTGGTTAGTGTATTGAGTGTTCGACACCTCTCAGTGGGGGAGGGAATCCGACATATGAAGTGTGAGGTTGAGTGCCTAGGCCAAGGTAGCCCTCACATGGAGAGTAAGTTAGGTTAGCTTTGGGAGGGAGTTAGCTTTAACTGCTCAGGATTCACATCGAAGGGGCATAGGCGGTTCGGTGGATTAGATCATGCCTTAGATTATGTTTTGTGCCTGTGGAGGTACAAGTAGGTATAAGATTTACCTGTGAGTTAAAGAGTGCCAGGGGCATTCTGTTGGTCATGAAAGGCCATACCGGCCTAGGTCATGCATTCATGCATTTTAAATGGCTAAATTATATACTATGTTGAATTTATTATTCATTTATTTGATTATGGCTTACTTTGTAATAATCAATGTAGATTTCTCTATTACTGAGACTGTGGTTGTCTCACCCCTTTCTTTTCAATATTTTAGGTCCAGGTGAAGGATCCAGTGGTGGACGGAGAAAGGAGCAAAGCTAGGGGTTTGCTTGTGATTTGTAAAGAACTGCAACCCCTTTTTTTGAGCAAATATATTGTAATGTATTTAGGATTAGGGTATCAGTAGAATATGATTATGTATGTGTGTGTGAAAATGTGTGGATTGTGTGCTTGTGTATGAATTTTTGTCTGTTTGTAGACTTGTGACTAAAAAACTTGGTTATGGTGTGTGGTTTTGATGGATTTACTTAGTAGACCAAATTTTTATAACAAATAGATATTTATTTTGATATATATATGATTATACAAACAAATGTAAAGTGGTTGCATTGCAAATGGTGTGCTATGGGCAAACATATACCTTGGATAGAGAGAGTGGGTGCGTGGGCCCCACAAGGAGCTCTAAGCCAAGTGAAAATGTTTAGTATATGTATTTATATAAATACATGGTATTTGGATTGATTTGTGACTACTCTTGTATGATTTATGCATTTTGGGGGTTTAGGGTCCATTTTGAGAAATGGCACCCGGGTGGTCAAATTTTGATGTATGGGGGTTTTCCATCATTTGAATGTTCTATCAGGTGTTTTTAGTCTTATTTGATATGTCCAAAGTGTTCCCACAGGTTTGTGACCATTAAGATGAGATTTGGACAATTTTAAAAATGGTTTTTACCAAAAAGCTGTACTTTTGCATCTGAGTGTCCAAATCTTAATCTAACCGTTAGATTTCTTTAAAATTTGGGTCATAAGTAAAACCTTTTATAAGCTTCATGTGGGATTTGGAATCATGTCGCTTGGATATCGGATGGAGAAACGGCACACTCCAGAATTTGGTCTGGAGGTGCTGTCATGACAACATTTCATTGCTGTCATGACAGCTACAGTAGTTATATTGTAACCTGCACAAAATTTAATCCGTCTGTTAGATCTTTTCAAAATTCGGTATGCTAATAGTATTCTTAAAAAGTGACATGTGGGCTTTGGAATCACTCCGATCGGAGGTCGGGTGATGAAATGGTGCACTCCGGAAGTTGGTCCGGAAGTGCTATCATGACAGTGACAGCAAAAGTAACCAAATTTGTAACATGTCAATTTTTTAATCCGACCGTTGGATCTTTTTAAAATTTGGTACACTTATGGTACCCTTTGAATGTGATGTGTGAGCTTTAAAATTTATTCGATCGAAAATCGGAAGATAGAACGGTGCCTCCCTGAAGTTGACTCAGGAGGGCTATCATGACAGCAATTTAATGCTGTCATGACAGTATATTTTTACCCTTCTTTCGTCTAACTTGCTTCCGTGCGCTATAGGTACAACCTATAAAATTTTTTAAAGGCTTTAAATGTTTAATTTGCAAATTATGTATTTGCTTAGTGATTTAAATGGTTTGTTTTCTAAGTTGGTTTTAGGATTAATTCCTTAACCATACTTAGTTTATTTGAATTGTGTGATTTTTAGATAACACTCAGGGCAAGTGTTACAGTATGTATGTGTATACTGGGGTACCATTGATTAGATTAGATTTTATATTTGAAGAATGTATTTTTGTATAATTTTTTATAAGTACATGGTGATTGATGCTTGATAAGTTTTTTAAACAATGCCAGACTCTTTTGCGAGAAATTAAACACTTTCAACAACTCAATCACGTAAATTCCAATTAGTTTAATTAATTCTTTATCCTTATACTATTATAGATTTTGCTGTATTAAATTTGATTGAGGTGAGTACTTCCTACATACTACAATAGAAAACATTTTCTAAAAATTCTGCTTGAGCTAAGGAATACTCCCTCCATTTAAAAATATAAAAAAATTTTAATTAAATTTTATCCTCAATAAATTAGTTATTTATTTTTAAACTAACTCTATATTTTCATATTTATCACTATTTAACAGAATGTTTCGTTTTAAAATAAATATAAAGTAATTTATTTAATATAGATATTTTTTTAAAAAAATGCAATGATTACACCTTAAAAAATTAAAAATATTTTATATTTTTGAACACCCAACTTTTTAAAAAATATCTTATATCTTTTAACGAAAGAAGTATAACATTAAGTAGGTTTTACTTTTTTATATTTCACTCGAGTAGTTAATGAATGTATTTTGAATAAGTCAATTGTTATATTTATTATAATTAAAAAGATGTGAAAATTCTTAGAAAATTAGGATTTTAATCATTTTTTTTAAACATAAATTAATTAGTAATAACTTATATTAGAGAAAATAAAAAAGTATACCGTGCATATTTTTCTAAGACCAAACAAGTGCACTCACGAAAAGGAGAGCATCAGAACTTAGAAGGGACTCAAGAAACCGCTTATATGGCGTTAAAGGGCAATCTGGCTATGATTTTTGCAAAATCATTTTTGAGATTATATGTTCTTACATGAATTAATTGTTACCCTTGCACAGTTTTTCTTAATTTTGTATTAAAAAAATTGCTTTTATATATACATATATCATAGTATGGAAATTCAAGTTAACTTGTTCAATTGAACTGTTAAACTAATATCTTGACTAATTTAATAAAATATTTTGTTTATAATCAATTTGATTATGGTTCAACAACAATTTTGACCTTTAGCTTTTGAGCTAGTGCCTTAATTAGTTCAATAGCTAATTTGATTTACAATACCTTGATATAAATAAATAAATAAATATATATATATAAAAGTTAAATGGCAATATGAATCCTAAAACATAGGCCTAAGGGTGATTTTTATCATAAACTCATATTTAATATATTTTAAATTCTAAACAATTAAATTTAAAATAATTTACTCCTTATCATTAATTTTAAGCAAATCTTCATTAACCCAAGTATTCTCTCTCTCCCCCTTTTCTCTACCCTTCTCTTCCCTCTCTTTTCATTTTGCTCTCCTCTCACTAAGGATCCACACCATTGTTGCTACCATCACTACCTCACAAATCTCATTCTCCTCCATCATTTCAAAACATCATGTCAACATCACTGTCAAAGGTCACCTCATATCCTCCTTCAAAATCTCAAAGCACATGCTGTTGTTTCATTTCAAACTCTACTTTCCCCCCAAGCCAACTCAACCCCTGTTCCCTTCAATATCACCACCAACAAACCTCTTCTTATTACAAATTTCATTTCATATCTATTTTTTTATTAGCTTGCATTCAAATTGTTATTTAGTTTGTTCTAGTTAATGTTGTAGCAGATGAGTTTCATTAATATTGTTGTTTCAAATTTGTG